AATCTGCTGTGCGGGGCTTTGGTTTCAGTTCATATGCTGCTAAGGCAAGCACATGTCCCCACATGTCCAAAAAGTAGAAAGAGAGAAGGGGAGAGAGGGAGAGAGGAAGAGAGGGAGGGAGGGAAAGAGACAGAAATAGAGAAAGTGAAAAGGAGGGAGGGGAGGAAGGAAGGAAGGAAGGAAGGAAGGAAGGAAGGAAGGAAGGAAGGAAGGAAGGAAGGAAGGGAGGGAGCAAGGGAGGGAGCAAGGAAGGAAGGGTGCGAGGGAGGGAGGGAGGGAGGGAGGAAGGGAGGAAGGAAGGAAGGAAGGAAGGAAGGAAGGAAGGAAGGAAGGAAGGAAGGAAGGGAGGGAGGGAGCAAGGAAGGAAGGGTGCGAGGAAGGGAGGGAGGGAGGGAGGGAGAGAGGGAGGAAGGAAGGAAGGAAGGAAGGAAGGAAGGAAGGAAGGAAGGAAGGGAGGAAGGGAGGAAGGGAGGAAGGGAGGAAGGGAGGGAGGGAGGGAGCAAGGAAGGAAGGAAGGAAGGAAACCTTTGTGAGTCCTTGAGTTGATTATATGGGAAATTAGTTACCCAGATTGGGTAATAAAATTTGGCTAGTGTGAGTGAGGTATTATCCTTGGAATGAAAAATAAATGCTAGAGGTGACAAAGAAACCCAATATCCCTGAGCAAAATATAAATTCCTTTCTGGATGTCATTTGGGCAACTATGTTGGGTCTAGGTCACTCCTCCTCCAGCTGGGGCAGTGCCCCCTCCACAGCTTGAGAAACCAGAAGGGACATTCAGTCACTTGCTTCAGAGGCATCTGCCCAGGTGGGACCCTTGCTGCTTCCACTCTCGTCCCATTTGTCAGAGAGTCACATGACCCACTCCTGATTCTGGGAGGGAGGAGAAAAATGCACCTTGACTCTGTACCCCAAAAGGCTAAGGGTAAGGACAGAAAACTCTTACTGCAGGCAGTTCTGGATTCAACCTGTAGGTGGAGACGTGGGGCAGAGCATCTGTCAGGCAAGTCAGCAGCGGGGGACGCCGGCTTGCGTTACAGTCCCTCAGATGCCAGAGGTGAAACCCTGCACTTGGCTGCAAAGTGGGCAGCCCTGGGAGGTCATGAAGGACGTTTGCAGGGAGAAGGGTCTATTCCTCAGGGTCTATCTATGAAACATACTCAGACTGAACAATACAGAGCCTTGACAGACCCATGACCTTGGATTATGACACTGATTGCTAGTGGCAATGACAATGACAGGACTAGAGGTGACACTGGCCTGGGGCTGAGGGTCTTGGGCACTTCGGTGGTGTTTGGGTGCAGTTACTTTGTACAATACCATCTGTTTTGTCACGAATGAAGTCACTTAGCCAAACTACAATGAAATTTTGAAAAATGAAATCTAATAAAATTCAGGAAGGAAAAACAACTTTCTCAGCCTCTTTAACCACTCCCTTCTGCGTGCAGAAGAGCCCAAATGAAGGGACCATCACAGATGGATGAGGGGGAGCAGTACCTTTACAGTGGCCTGCTCTGGCACTGAGAAGCTTCACTGCTGAGTTTACAACTGAGCTCAGATACTTCATTTCTGGAGTGTTCATGGACCTCATTGGTGAAGTGCGATTTAACTGTTTGCATGACACGCCTGGGTGTGCCTCTAAGTTGGTCCACTATTTTTCTCCCAACTGTTCAGTTGGTCCACTGAAAAGTCATTGTTGTAGTTGAGTTGTCCTGTGTTTTCCGCTCCCTGAGCCCTTGTACTGCCTATGGGGGTGTGAGTCTTACTCATCCTTACCTTTCCACTCTCCCCTCCACTTTGTGCTAAGATTTTACTTCCAGAAGGCAGCCACACATGCTAGAGTAAAAGGCAGCTCAGATAGAGAAGGGAGCACCAAATAATGGGTGTTGGGAGGATCCTCCCAGGATGGGAGAAGCATGCTGAAAGTAGACTATAGACCAAACATGATTGCCACTTAATGCCTCTTTCGCAAACCACAAGACCCAAAAGGAAAGAGAGAACAAAAGGGAATGCCCTGCCACAGAGGCAGGGTGGGATGGGGTGATGGGGGGTGGGAGGGATACTGGGATCCGTGGTGGTGGGAAATGGGCACTGGTGAAGGGATGGGTATTTGATCATTGTATAATTGAAACCCAAGCACAAAATTTGTAAGTCTACAACTGTACCTCATGGTGTCTCACTAAAAAAAAAAAAAAAAAGATTGGCTTCCAGAACCCTCTCTACTGGGTTCTGCTCTGTGCTGAGGAGTAATCAGAGACAAAACATTCTATTCACTCATACCAATACATTAGGGGCACTCATGGAGATCTATGACAATTCATAATCTGCACCGTACTGAAGTTTTTCCTTACCAAGGCTAGTACCTACAACTGTCTTAGGGTATCCAGTTACTGGGTAAATAAAGTAACCCAGTAACTGTGATTAGATTTTTGCCCAACCTTGGCATGTAATTCACTTAATTCATGTTAAGTTGCTGATCCTAATATTATGTTTATAAAAGAAGGAATATAATACCTTAGATTTAGTCGATGCTTTGTAATGTACAAAGGACTTTCCTGTGCATTCTATTTCTTCTCCACAGTCACTGAGCACTCCATTGAAAACCACAAAGATGGTCAGCTGCTTTTCTCATCTCATTAACACTAATGGTGAACCTGATATCCAGAACTATAAATTTATATCTAGGACATTTTTTATGTTATTCATAGTTTAACAAATTTAGCAACATGTATAACATTTTAAAATGTACTATCTACTTTTTAAAATTTTTTTGCTTATTTTGGGGGGCTGGAGCGATAGCACAGTGGGTAGGGCATTTGCCTTGCACGTGGGTGACCCAGATTCGATTCCTCTGCCCCTCTCGGAGAGCGCGGCAAGCTGTTGTGTGGACAAGAGTATCTCGCCCACACAACAAAGCCTGGTAAGCTTCCCATGACGTATTCAATATGCCAAAAACAGTAACAAGTCTCACAATTTGTTGTGAGATGTTACTGGTGCCCGCTCGAGCAAATTGATGAACAACGGGAGGACAGTGCTACAGTGCTTATTTTGGGGCCACACTTAGTGGTTCTTAGAGCTTAATTGTGCCTCTATGCCGAGAGCTCACTGCTGTTATGCTCAGGGAACCATATGTAGTGCTGAGGATTAAACCCAGGTCAGCCATGTGCAAGGCCCCTGCTTTCTTTCTCTTCTATTTAACAATTCTTATATTTATCTTCGAACTCAGATCAGTACTCCTATGTGCTCTACCAGGCAGATATTTCTATGATGGCTTTTTTGTTTGTTTTTAGGTTGACTTATAAACAGGGGATAGAGAAAATATTGTATAAGAGAAGGAAGATGTCTCAAGCACAATGGTTTTATCCAACATGGACTGGTTGGGTATTGATTTCTATACAGTGTTCTAAACATAAAAATAAACAAAGCAGAACTGGGAGATAGTGCAGTGGTTAGGGCCTATACCTAGCAAGTTCTTGGCCCAGGTTTAATTCCTGGTACAACATGGGACCCGAGCATCACTGGGTGCAGCCCTAGAGATCTCCCGACTGCCAAGGTGGTCCAGGTATCTCTGCTACCTCAGGGTCTGAGTAGCATTGCATCTTCAGGACCTTGTGTTGAACCGCTGATCCTGTTGGCTGAGAATTTCCAGTGGGACCTCCTGAGCGCAGCGTGGTGCCCCCTACCCCCTGCTGTACCCCACCAAAAGACCAAAATAAACAATGCAGAAATAGTTCCTGTCCTCATGAGGCTTTGAAGCTAATGAGAGAGCATTTCTACTTGAGAAGAAAGTGAACTCCAGAGGTAGAGAAAATTCTTTTCTTCCAGGGCTTCTGTTCAAACATGAACATCCTCCCTCTAGCTAGTAAGAGAAAGAAATACCTTGCTAAACGACAATTTTTAACTTAGTGCCTATAAGTTAAAGGTAAAGGTAAAGGCCCTCCCGTTGATCGTCGATTTGCTCGAGCGGGCCCAGTAACGTCTCCATTGGAGACTTTGTTGTTACTGTGTCTGGCATATCCAATACTCTCGGTAGCTTGCCGAGCTCTCCGAGAGGGGCGGAGGAATCGAACTCGGGTCGGCCATGTTGGCCACTTGTAAGGCGAACGCCCTACCCGCTGTGCTATCGCTCCAGCCCTATACCACAAGGATTTTCCTTAATGAATGAAATTACCTGGATGCTACCAAGGAGAAAAAATTATCATCCTAAGAGTACTCATGGACTTGGCAAGAAATGGAAGATGAAAATAAATCACAGTGAAATCCTTGTGAAGAGTGGTCCATTTCCTCTAAGGGAATACAGAGATTTCTCCATTTTCTCCAATATTTTTCTATTCCCTGCACTTATCTTACAAGATATTATTGTTATGATGTCACCATGGAATAGTCATGCCTGGCCACAGCCTCTTCACCTATATCCATTCCCAGTGCTTTTTTAGTATTCAAATGGTAGAATAATACCAGGTGGTATTTCTCAGAAATGTCGGACACTTTTACATTCATCGCTTAATCTTTTTTTGACACATCATCATGATGGATGCTCTGTCCCTTTAAAACTGAAGGGAGTGAGATCACTCTTGTCCTCTCAGTGCAAGTCACATGCCGCACTTGTTGCAGAAGTCTCTAGAGAAACTCAGTCTGTCTTTAGCCCCAAAGCCTAGAAACCGCCTATCTTCTGAAAAACTTAATCAAATGTGCCCTTCACCACATTTTGTTCATGACTTGCCTTTTCTTATTTATTTTCATGTTTTCATTCAGTATGTCTTTGCTTCTGTAAGCTGGTAGCAAAAATAACTTACTGTTCACCTAAGATGAGACTGTGGTCTGGCTCTCAAATCCAATGACTGTAGAATCTCTTGTTACTGAGAGCCACTCACACGAGAGAGCGTCGTGCACAGACTCTGGTGTGCCACATGAGTGGGAATCATTATCTGGACTCAGTTTCCTTTTCAGAGAACACGAAATGCCCCCAGGGTTTCACTGTGGCTTTTCCTCTTTTTCAGACTATTGTCAGAGGATGTAGGCATGGATAACCCCTTTGATGAGGGGATGCTGAGTCCTAACGCTGTGGACATGCGGCCTGGTAAGTGGCTTGTTTGTTTGTTCATTTCCAGTGGCCTAGATGACATCTAAAGATTGTCATTATTCAGTGAGAGAACCATTTCCTCTGCAGCCAATGTGTGATTTCAGAGAGAAAAGTGAAGGGGGTGTGAGAAAGTGTAAGGAAGGTGTTAGGCTCAATTTGCTTAATGTCAGTGTCAAGTTGAATATTGATCTTACTCATGGGGCTCCAGCTCTCTCCACCAAAGTTTTCAGTCGCCATGCTAATTGACCACCCTGCATCATGAGACCATGGTCAGACTCTTGCCTAACTGCATGGAATATATACTGAAAGGCGGCGATGTTTCAAGTAATCTATGCAGAATGTTCTCTGTCTTGGTTATTGTAAATAATGCTACAACCTAAATTGTTCGCAGAGATGAATTTTATTTTTATTTATTTATTTATTTATTTTTGGGCTGGAGTGATAGCACAGCAGTGGGGCGTTTACCTTGCGCATTGCAGGCCCGGTCGAGCTTGGTTCAATTCCTCCGCCCCTCTCAGAGAGCCCGGCAAGCAACTGAGAATATTCTGCCCACATGGCAAAGCCCAGCAAGCTACCCGTGACGTATTCGATATACCAGACACAGTAACAACAAGTCTCACAATGGAGACATTACTGGGCCCACTCGAGCAAATCCGTGAGCAATGGGAGGACAGTGTGTGTGTGTGTGTGTGTGTGTGTGTGTGTGTGTGTGTGTGTGTGATTTTATTTTATTTTTTATTTATTTATTTTTTTGCTTTTTGGGTCACACCCGGCGATGCACAGGGGTCATTCCTGGCTCTACACTCAGAAATTAGCCCTGGCAGGGCTCAGGGGACCATATGGGATGCTGGGAATCGAACCTGGGTCGGCCGCATGCAAGGCAAATGCCCTACCCACTGTGCTACTGCTGCAGCCCCTGGTTTTTTTTTTTTTAACCACACCCAGCAGTTCCCAGGGTTTATTTCTGGCACTTCACTTGAGGATCAATCCTATGGTGTTTGGGGAGCCATGTGTGGCTCTGGGAATGGAACCCAGGCCTGACTTGTGCAAGGCAAGCACCTAACCTATTGTATTATTTCTCTTGCCCCCAAAGCTCGAGCTCGAGCGGGCCCAGTAACGTCTCCATTGGAGACTTTGTTGTTACTGTGTCTGGCATATCGAATACTCTCGGTAGCTTGCCTGGCTCTCCGAGAGGGGCGGAGGAATCGAACTCGGGTCAGCCATGTTGGCTGCGTGCAAGACAAACGCCCTACCGCTGTGCTATCGCCCCCAAAGCAGACTTGTAAATACTTAATTTTAGCCTGCAGGCCTCCCCTTTGTTTTGGGTCACTTCTTTGCCTCTTTTTACTTCTTTTCTGGTAGTGCCTTGAATCTTTCACAAAGAAGCCCAACTTTTGCGTTATTAGTCAAATCTGCAGGACTAGGAAGAAGGGAATCAATTAACTTTTCTTTTTCTCCTAGCACTAGTCAGGAGCTGGAGAAATAGTAAAACTGGTAAAACACTGCATGTGGCTGACCCCGGTTTGATCCTCTGCACCTGCTGAGTACTGCCAGGAGTGGCCTCTCAGAGCAGAGCCAAGAGTGATCCCTGAGTGCCACCAGGTGTGACCTCCCCCACCCACCCAAAATAAATCACACACACACACACACACACACACACACACACAATACTAGTCTGGTGATATCATTATTTTTAAATTTGGTTTGGCCAAATAAGCTGGCAACCACAGCGTCAGTATCTCACTTTTCAAGATCCACAAAAGCTCTTTTGAATAATAAAGGCACAAACGCTATGATTGTCATGTTGTATAAGATAGTTCCATGGCTACTTAACTAAAAATTTTAAATAAATATTAATAGGGTGTTTGCTTTGCACACGGCTGACTCGAGTTCGATTCTTCTGCCCCTCTCGGAGAGCCCAGCAAGCTATCTTGCCCACATGGCAAAGCCAGGCAAGCTACCTGTGAAGTATTCAATATGCCAAAAGCAGTAACAAGTCTCACAATTTGTTTTGAGACGTTACTGGTGCCCGCTTCAGCAAATCAATGAACAATGGGAGGAAGGTGCAGACAGTGCAGTGCAGTGAATAGTTCAGTTCCTTAATGGTATATTTCAAGTGCTAAAAAGTTATACACAGAACACCAAAAAAAAAAGTCCTTCTGTAAAGCTCTGCTCTAAGAATCATATAAATGACACAGCTCAATGTGAACTTTTTTCCAGTAATGCATAGAAATATTACTTGGAGCAGAGTTTGAGTGATGTTCTATATAAGAAAAAAAGGTCTTGAAATTGGAAATATAGTACAATGGATGGGGCACTTGCCTTGCAGTTGGCTGACCTGGGTTGATCCCCGGCACCCAAAGCCTCATCCCTGAGCACAGAGCCAGAAGCAAATGTAAGTCAAGTAGCAGTGCTGTTTAGCACCAATCAAAAAGTTGTGTAGACAATGGAGTGCTATACAGCTCTTAGAAAAGATGAAGTCATGAAATTTACATACAAGTGGTACTACATGGAAAGTATCATGCTAAGTGAAACAAGTCAGAAAGAGAGGGACAGACATAGAAAGATTGCATTCACCTGGAGAATATAAAGTAACAGAATGGGAGACCAAAACCCAAGAATAATCGAGACAAGTACAGGAGGTTCACTCCGGGGCTTGGAGGCCAGCCGCACATGCTAGGGGAAAAGGCAGCTCAGATAGAGAGGGGAGCACCAAATAAAGGGTGTTGGGAGGATCCTCCCAGGATGGGAGATGCGTGCTGAGAGTAGACTATAGACCGAACATGATTGCCACTCAATACCTCTTTTGCAAACCACAACACCCAAAAGGAGAGAGAGGACAAAAGGGAATGCCCTTTCACAGGGGTGAGGTGGGATGGGGGGGGGGGGGGAGGTGGGAGGTTGGGAGGGACGCTGGGAGAATTGGAGGTGGGGAATGGGCACTGGTGGAGGGATGGATACTCAATCATTGCATGACTGAAATCCAAGCACAAAAATTTGTAAGTCTACAACTGTACCTTATGGTGTTTCACTAATAAAAATTTTAAAAAAATGTTGCGTAGATCTCCAGCTTATGTAGATTCACGGAATGAACCTAGAGGATACCCCAGTTTCAGTTAAGAAAAAATGAGCACCCCTCAAGGAAAGGCCACTGCACACACACAGAGAAGATCCATGGATGTGACAAATAAGATTATTTTACCTTTCATTCCATAGCAGGAGTAAAATCTCATGAACTTAACTGCTCATTCTTTACAATTTGCGCCACACAAATTGAATTCAATATTCTATCAGTGTCATGTCCTTAATCATGCAGTGTCATGTCCTTTATCATGAACAGGGCCATTTTGAAAATGAATGTGAGTCTGGGGAAGGGGGACGGAGTGATAAAGTGTATGCATTGCATGCATGAGTCCTGGGTTTGGTCCCTGGCACCTGATTCTCTGCCCAGTTAGTTAGCAATGGCTCTCAGCTCCTCTTTCCATGTGGCATCAGACAAGCCAGTGTCAAAATTCAGCTACTCAAGAAGGGAGTCCAAAGCCCATAGGAGAACCTTGTGCAGGTGCACTCTTGCTAAGAGCTTAGAAGTGTTTTCACTGGAACCCAAGATCACTCTTATTTATTTATTTATTTATTTTGAATACCCATCCCTCCACCAGTGCCCATTTCCCACCACCACGGATCCCAGTATCCCTCCCACCCACCCCATCCTCTCCATCCCACCCTGCATCTGTGGTAGGGCATTCCCCTCTGTTCTCTCTCTCCTTTTAGGTGTTGTGGTTTGCAAAAGAGTTAAGTCTGATTTTCAGGGAGAAACGTTGGATGATTTACTTTCCATTGATCACTTTGTATATAAGGAGATGTTTGGAAAGAATGTCGTGGTGCCCGCCCAAGCTCACTCTTGGCAATCATGTGCCTAGTCTGATATTAGGTGTTATTCTTTCTCTTCTTTAGAACCTCCGAATTCTCTGGATCTAAATGGTGTTCACTCTCAGAGGATCAAGCTCACAGCCCCAAATATCAATCTTTCTCTGGACCAGAGTGAAGGATCTATCCTCTCTGATGACAATCTGGACAGCCCCGATGAAATCGATATCAATGTGGACGAACTTGATACTCCTGATGAAGCAGATTCTTTTGAGTACACTGGCCATGGTAAGTTATCAGGCTGGCGGGGCTAGAGAGGAAGGGAAAATTGAAGGGTTATCTGAGTGCCTTAGTGACAGACTTCCCATTTTGTAGCTGGCGGCTCCTTTCTATGATGTCTGACGAGTTCCTCTGTGTCTCCTGGGCGGTTTAGCCTCTGCCAGGGAAGGAATGGTTCACAGCCATCACAGATAGCATTGCACTTTGTCAACACCCAACTCCCTGCCAGCCCTCATTGAACCTTGCTTTTGCCAGCACTGGGGCTCAGGGAAAGCTCTTCCATACTCTGTTGTGAGAAAACTGGATCTAGGTTTACAGAAAAAAAAAATGTCATTTGTAGGCTAAAACTCAGAGATGGGACTGGGAGATAGCACAGTGGTTAGGGCAGAAGCCTAACAAGTACCTGGTCCAGGTTCGATTCCTGGCACCACCCAGTTCCCAAGCACTGCTAGGTGCAGGTCTGATGGCCCCCAGCACCACCAGTGGGGTCCAGGGATTCCCCGCACTGCAAGACTTGAGCAGCACCATGTACTTTGGTCCTCTCATTGGACTCTAACTCAGTTGCTTGAGAATCTCCAGACCTCCTGAGCACCTCTTAGGAATCCCAGTAGTAACTAAACACTTTGTGAAGACAAAAATTAGAGATTATCCCTTTCTTTGTACAAGGAATGTAAACCTTCCCATTGCCTCGAATGTTCTTTCCCCAGACAGAGAACAGGCTCACCCTTCTGTTCTCAGACCCTAATCTTCTTGTATCTCCCAGAAACCCACTGATTTCTATCATGGAGGAGCTGCTTTCCCTCCACAGACTGGCAGGAAGCATATCATTTCACTTTCTTTGCATGTATATTGTCTTGGGCTGGAGTGATAGCACAGTGGGTATGGTGTTTGCTTTGCAAGCGGCCAACATGGCCAACCCGAGTTCGATTCCTCCGCCCCTCTTGAGAGCCTGGCAAGCTACCAAGAGTACCTCGTCCACATGGCAAAGTCTGGCAAGCTACCTGTGACGTATTCGATATGACAAACGCAGTAACTATTGTCACAATGGAGATGTTACTGGGCCTGCTCGAGCAAATCGATGATCAACGGGAGGACAGTGACAGTGACAGTATATTGTCTTTCTCTTTTTGCCACAATACCTGGGACTTTGTCCCAGACACCTCCGAATTCCACCATACTGACAATCTAGTAGGAATATAGCGAATTAGATGGGAAAGTAGCAAGGAAGAAGCCCTCTAAGCTCAATAAACAAAAACAGAAGGCTCAACTAGCTACAAACAGTACAGTAAACCGTCAGACAAGGTTTTTAATGACACTGTTGGGAGATTTTCACAATTTTCACAAATTTTCTTTTACAGAATTTTTTTGATAATTCCATTAGCCATGTTATTGAAAAAAGCAATAAAAATAAATCATTTGGGGATGCTTGGAAGAGTGGGGAGTCTTGGGAGAGTGTGGGAAATGGGTGGAAGTCAGACTACACTGGGGGCGGGATTGGTGTTGGAACATTGAATGCCAGAAAACTGTATAATGAACAACTATGTAAACCACAGTGCTTAAATAAAGTTAATTTAAAAAAAAGTTTTGAGGGGCTGGAGCGATAGCACAGCGGGTAGGGCATTAGCCTTGCTCGTAGCCAACCCAGGTTCGATTCCCAGCATCCCATATGGTCCCCCGAGCACCACCAGGAGTAATTCCTGAGTGCAGAGCCAGGAGTAACCCCTGTGCATCGCCAGGTTACCCAAAAAGCCAAAAAAAAAAAAAAGGTTTTGAAAGGGTTTGAAAGGGTTTGAAAGGGACACGGAGGTGTCACAATGGTCGGGGGCACAGGGTCTGCAAGTCCTGGGCTCCAAGTTCAAACTGCAGCATTGTAGGCCCCAGCAGCACTATGGGGTGACCCTGGGAGCCCCGAGATACTGGGGGTGCCCTGCTGTTCCTGCACTGCGGGACCCAGCAGCTCCACGCTCGGCCCGGCGCTGAGCTGCTTGACATCATTGGCTGAATGTTGCCTGGAGCACTCTTTGGGACACCCCAAAAACACTATTTGGGAGACTCCAAAAAAAGCTCCTGAAAAAGAAAGACCAAGATGCAGTGACTTGTTGGCTTCCAGAGCCAGGTGAGTTCCAGGAGTGTGGCTTGTGGAGAGCAGAATCAGGAGTCGGGCAAAGTGGTTGAACAGCCAAGGGACGACCACAGTCTCTTACCACCTCCACAGCCCTGAGAGCACAGGAAGCGGAGGCGCCTGCCCTAAGGATCGGGGCCAGGACAGCACAGGTCCTTCAGCTTCGCCCCAGTGTGTCGCCTTACAGATAACTGCATCTGCAGCTTATCCGTGGGCTTAACTGCGGGAGAGGAGAGAAGGGCTGGCAGCTTGGTTCTTGTCTGTCCCCCATGCAGTGGCATTCGTGATACAGCCACAGATTCACTCGGGACCTGACACCCCCACTAGGCAGGCAGCAGAGTGAGGCCCTGCCTGCCCCCCACACTCCTCCCTCCCAACCCTGTCTCCTTCCCTCCCCATATCTGAGCTTTTTCTTTTTATAGTGAGTTGATCTGAGCAGCCATAACCCTACTTTTAAGTCTTCAACTTACAGGGCAGAAATTTACTTAGTTTTATTTTTGTTGTTTTCTTTCTTTTTCTTTATTTTGAAGGAGCCTCCCAAGCCATGGGGGGGGACTCCTGGTTCAGTGCTCAGGATGAGAACGAGGCACTGCTCAGGCCCTGTGTGTGTGTGTGTGTGTGTGTGTGTGTGTGTGTGTGTGTGAAACTATGCAGTTGTGACACCTGGAGGGGCTCAGGCCACCTGAACCACACCTGGTGGTGCCAGACAGGCCACGTGGTCTGGGAGTGGAAACTGACGTCTAGTGTGCCCTCACCCTGTGCTAGATGCCACCCCACTCCCAATCCCAGAGAATAGTGTTTTCACGTAATTTCAATTTGAAAGTTCACCTGGAGATCCGAGCAGGCTTGGAGATCTCAGCCCCGGGACCCGCATGCCTTTGTTCCTCTGCCGGTACCTTCATATGTGTGGAGAGTGGTCTCAGCATGGTGGTGGCTGGTTCTGGAGGTCTTCGGCTGCCTGAGTTCTGCTCGGTGTGGGGAGGGAAACTCAACCCTGCCCCATCCAAGGGGCCCGGGCGAGGACAGCCAGGCATGGGGGCAGGAGATTCTGCACTGTTCTCTTCCAGGAGCTGGATTTTGTAGTCTCTGGGTCTTGGCCGTTGATGGGATTGCATGGCGTCAGGGGGTCAGTTGGTGGTTGTGACCCCTGCCTACTGGAAGATGGAAGATCTGGGTGGAGTATTCTCAGCCACGATCTGAGCAGGCTTGGAGATCTCAGCCCTGGAACCCGCATGCCTTTGTTCCTCCACCCAGATCTTTTAAGGCATGCGAGTCCCAGGGCTGAGATCTCCAAGCCTACTTGGATCGGGGCTGAACATCCTCCACCCAGATCTTTTATCTTCCAGTACGCAGGGGTCACACCCACCAACTGACCCCCTGGTGCCATGTAATCCCCTCAATGGCCAAGACCCAGAAACTACAAAACCCAGCTCCCGGAAGCACGTGGTCGCATTCACAGCTGTGCAACATCTTATTATCTCAGTTTTACTTTTGGACAACCTGGCAGGCTACCAAATGTAACCTGCCCACACGGCAGACTCCCCGTGGCGTACCCAATATGCCAAATACCAGTAACAATGATGGGTCTCATTCTCCTAGCCCTGAAAGAGCCTTGAATATGGCACTTTAAAATCTCAGGGCTAGGACGAAGGAGATGTTATTGGTGCCTGCTCGAGGCAATCGACGAACAACAGGATGATCGTGATTGTGATCATGACCTGGAGATAGCACAGTGGTAGGGTGTATGCCTTGCATGTAGCCAGCCTGGCCAAGCCGGGTTCAATTCCTCTGCCCCTCTCGGAGAGCCCGTCAAGCTACTGAGAGTATCTCGCCCGCACGGCAAAGCCTGGCAAGCTCCCCGTGACGTATTCAATATGCCAAACACAGTAACAACAAGTCTCAAAATGGAGACGTTACTGGGCCCACTTGAGCAAATCGATGAACAATGGGAGGACAGTGTTTGTTGTTTGTTGTTCTTCCCAAGCAGAACCCAGGCTGCTCCCAGCAGTTCTCAGCTGCCTGGGTTGCACATTTGGATGTTCTGGGCTAAGAATGTGTCACTCTCTGGCCCTGTGACCCAGGGTGCTTCCGTGTCCACCTTTGTGGGGAACTGCAGAGTGACTCTTGGCCATTCCCAGGGGCTTCCAATGTACACTCTGTCATGGGAGGCACATGTGGTGCCAGGGGTTAAACCACTTCCCCAGTGTGCAAGGCCTGAGCTAAGCCCTGTACTGTCTCCTGGCTTCCACCTAGATTTTAAACAAGCACTTATGTTTTATACAAATGAAAACATTCGACGTTGAAATCCAAGTGCATCTGAATATCTGTATTATACAAACATGCAGTTATAGGCAACTGATTGTAGAAAAGAGGCAGAATGCAATTAAGCTGCATGCCTGGTTTTTGGTCTGTTTCTGTATGGGTTTTGTTTTCAGATTTGCTTTAGATTGGTTTGGGTTTCTTTACAGTCTAAGTAAAATTGGTGCTTTAAGCGGCTTTTCAAATGTGTTTTGCCTATGATTTATTTTATTTAATGGGCACTTTCATAGTGTTTGCTATGCACCAGGATGAATGCTTTAAAATATGAACTCTTTCTATCCTTACATATCTCCAAGCTTAGACATTTTCTTCCATCCTTTCCTTCGTTCCTTTGCTTTCCTTCCTTTTCTTCTTTTCCTTCCTTCCCTTCCCCTTCCTTCCTTCCTACCTTCCTTTCTTTGTTTTTCCTTCTTCCTTTTCTTCCGTCTTCCCCCTCCCGCCCTCCCTCCCTCCCTCCCTCCCTCCCTCCCTCCCTCCCTCCCTCTCTCCCTCCCTCCCTCCCTCCCTCCCTCCCTTCTTCCCTCCATCCTTCCCTCCCTCCCTCCCTCTCTCCCCTCCTTTCTTCCTA